ACTATGACTAGACTATGACTAGACTATGACTAGACTATGACTAGACTATGACTAGACTATGACTAGACTATGACTATGACTAGACTATGACTAGACTATGACTAGACTATGACTAGACTATGACTAGACTATGACTAGACTATGACTAGACTATGACTAGACTATGACTAGACTATGACTAGACTATGACTAGACTATGACTAGACCTATGACTAGACTATGACTAGACTATGACTAGACTATGACTAGACTATGACTAGACTATGACTAGACTATGACTAGACTATGACTAGACTATGACGAGGCGACAAAGCCGATGAGTACGCTTCAAGGCTGATAAAGGACGATTATTTTAAAGTGTTACACTACCATGTTATAGGATATAAAAGGAAAGGTATATATGTAAGTTCAGTTCCAAACAAAATGGAAAGAGAATTTTTCATATAATCATGTTTATGTTTGTGAGAACTGAAACAGACCCACACTAAGATAGTTTATCAAAACTTTTACAAATAAAATTATGTTTTTTTTTTAATTTGATTTTTATTAAAAAATAACCCACAATTTTAAAAATTTTCCAATTTTTTTTTTTATTCTTTAAGAATGTATGTACAAGATTATATTTCTGCACTTATTTGTACGTAATTGGCCTAAAAGTATCTTGCACTTTTTTCCTCAATATATATATTTTTCCCTCAAAACTAACTGATAAAATTTGTTCTTACCTTAATTTTATAGTTTAATTAATCATAAAATAATTATTTATTTGACATAATAATTTTCATTGATTTAATTTCCATACTAGACTTCTCACTTTATAATTAAAATAAAAATATCAATAATAATAACAGAAAAAAGACCTCGTTAACATGTAATCCCTCATTAAAATAAAAAAGTAATTAAAATATGCATTCATACGTGTCATTATGCGAAATTTATAATAATTATTAAAACAAATTGTTTCTTTTCAAACAAACACACACATACATATGTATGTATAATAGTAAAGCAGTTTGGTCCAACATTTTACTTTTTAAAACTTTAAATTGACTAAAAGCAATATGTGTAAATCCTCTTAAAATAAGCAGATTTTTTTTTTTTTTTGTATTCCAAAAAAAGGTATACTAAACGTTTTGTACCTTTTGACAATATCAACGGTTTATAATGTAAATAAGTATAAATATTGTCATCAATGTGCTTAAGTCATAATTAATTGTATAGTTATGTGTGTGAGTTTATTTATTATAATTATGACATATTTTTATTTATTTAAATTTTTCTTTATTTGTTTAATTTATTATCGCCTTTAAAAAAACTTCTAAAGTAAAAAAGTGTTAAAGTGAAAAAGTGCTAAGTTTTTTTGTATTAAAAAGTGTGAAATTGTATTTATAACAATAACTGATGCTGTTTTCAAATTCATAAACAATTGTGAAATATCAAAAAAAAAACAACCCAAAACATGACATATGTAAGAAAAATTAAGTAATAATTTTAAGTACACAATTATTTATAATCAGTTTTTTTATTTAAAGTTAAAATTGCAATGTAATTGTCTTCGTCCCGGAGCGATTACTGCATATTTCACTATAGTAATAAGTTTATAGTAATATTTGTCAAACTTAAAATTTATTGTCCAAAATCCCAGAATTGCTTTCTGCATCGATTTGTTGAAGTCCGTCTGTACTTTTTGTAACATCATTCAAACATATTTTTGACTCGAAAATTTTGCAACCAAAACTTTGAAAACATTTTCAAAAAAAAATTAAGCATTTAAACATTGAAAGCTGTCATCTAATCGACATATAAAGCACAATTGATTATGTCAAATTCTATAAAATCAAAAAAAAAAATCTTATACAAATTCTCAATTAATCATTGCAACCTAAATACTACCCTTACAACAACGCCCAACCCAAATTGCTTTTATAGCCGGATATGCTAATATATATTTTTTGAAATTCAATTTTCCCTTTTTTTGGTTCCCTCCCTCTTTTTGAAATTTTTTTTTTTTCAAACAACATACTCGTACATAAATCTTTTTTTTCTTTTCACATCTATTTTTGCATGACATTTTTCAACAACAAATAAATAAATAAAAAAAACAACTACAAAAAAATGTCCATCAAAATCTCACACAACAAACAATTGATAACAAAAGAAAAAAAAAAGATTGCAATAAAACAAATTAAGGCTCAATATTTATATTAAAAAAAAGGAAAAAAAAAAACTTTAAGTTTTGTTTCCTGTACCCGCGCGCTCTTAGGATTACCATTGTCATAGCGTGCTGAGATTTTATTTATTCATCCTATTTTACAGGATTTTTTTAATACAACAATAAAATACGTTAATAATAATCGTATTGAAAAATAAACTTACACATGTGGTCAGAAAAATAGGTGTATTCATCTGTTATTTATACGTATTTATGCAAATAAGATAATTTTCAGTCTATCTGTTCCTACCTCTAGGTGTCTGAATGTCTTTTGACCCCAGAGATCTTCGGGATCCAAATCGTTAATAATTCTGTCAAACTTTTGAGAAGTTTTATATTTAAAATTAGCAAAATCGGTTTATAAATATTGCAGACAACAGACAAATTCCTAAAGCCCCCTTCCCACTAGCATACAAGTAATATGATCTGTCAAAATTTTGTGTAGAAGAGTACAGATGGGATCGTCTAAACGCAATATATAATTAAAGAAAATACGAATGAAAAATTTTACAGTCGTATGGCTCTCTTCATTTTTTGAAATAATTCAAAAAACAAGCAAGTCGCATTAGATCAGAAATGTATTTTTATGTAAACACATACAAAATAAATTGAAACAGCTGTTTCCATCTTACTTTGGAAACAGCTGTTTCCAAACTTTTATTCTCTTTTTCGTCATATGGATGGAAATTAATTTTGGTTTTTCATTAGACTTTATATACATAAAGTGTGATCATGTGAAGGACCCTTAAACAGTCTATAAAATTATGTTAAAAATGCGATAAAACAACAACAATATATATTTTTGTTTTCATTATGTCTACAGTCAACGTCTGAAATCAGGGATGGAAGCTATTTATTTGTGAAATTCGTATTATTTTGGAAAAATTTAAAGAAATAAATGAAAAAAAAAACTTATTTTGATGTCTAAAAAATTTTCTAAAATTTTTTAAATATTCGCCACAGCTGAACTTGTGGCCTTGGTGTTGCTAGACCATTAAATATAGTCAAACTAACAAATACTTTTGGAAGTCCTGCATGGGATTGGTCCAACATTAATTAAAAAATTAAAGAAATTTTACACAAATGTTCCTTCTTAAGGTATGTCTTTGTCTTAAGTGGCTCAGTGGGTCCGTCTGATTTCGGTCCCGCAGTGATGCCCTATTGGTCACAGGAGTCTTTTTCTATAAACACTACTCACTACTTCCAGAGTTAAACCAAGCGGTTCGATTCACAAAATTTAGGATATTCTTTAGATTTATCCCCGATATATCCTACAAACAAGAGAGAACAGCAGCAGGTAAGTGGCTCAGTGGGTCCGTCTAATTTCGGTCCCGTTTTGATGCCCTATTGGTCATAGGAGTCTTTTTCTATAAAAAAAACTACTCACTACTTCCAAAGTTAAACCAAATAGTTCGATTCACGAAATTTTGGATATTCTTTAGATTTATCCCGGATATATCTTCCACACAAGGGCGAAAAGCAAATCCAAAATAGAATTTCCTGTTACCATTAAATGTCGGTCAGTAACAGAGGTGATGAGATATAGTCTCCTCTTCCACCTCATTGAGACAACTTCTGCAGTAGTCATTGTACTGGAGACAGTGTCCCGTTATTACTGATATCTGCGTTCTTATTTGCTCCCTGCGAAAGCTTAACAATAAGCTAGACTTTGTCTTAACTTAATTCTGTACAACCTTAGAAGAATTTAGGTAAACAAATTGGATCAAGATATACCCCCAATTCCTCCTGGACAAAATTTCAACATCAGGTTATTTTATATGCACTTAATTTATGGTCCATTTAAGAATTCTGGGATTCTCTAATCTGACAAAAATTACACTATTTCAAATAAAAATTAATTCTACACCTAGTTTTCTGTCCACATGTGTACATTTCAAAATGTATTACTTAGTTGATGTCTTACTATGAGAAAAAATAGACCATATATTTTATAAACATTTTTTTTTTTTTGTAAGTTAAAACTAATTCTAACATTAAACAATTACTTTAATATATTTCCGCAACTGTCTGTCAATGTCAACTACTACCAATACCACTACGACGGAAACTGCGTAAATCAACAAAACTACTGCAAAATAAAATAAAACTAAAAAAAAATATTATTTATATAACAAAAAACTATAAAAAATAAAATTAAATTATAACTAAATCTACGTTTGTCTGAAAAAAACTATTACTACTACTATTACATTAAAAAACTAATAAATAAATTTAAAAAAAAACCCTTTCGAAACACACTAACACTATTTAACTAAACTAAACGAATGGATCAATGTTTGTAACGGTTTTATTTAAATTTAATTATGCTTTATTTGCTATTTATTTCCTATTTGATTTGTTCACTCCTTACTAAAATAAATTTGCAAATGTTTCCTCTTCCACTTTATGACCTTTCCTATCCAACCCACTACCACTCTCTGTCTTCTAATGTGTTTTTAATTTGAAAACTGTTCAATGTTTTTTTAATGAATGAATTAATATTTCTAACGGTTTTTGTTTTAATTTAATTTACGCTTTTTTATTATAATTTGCAAACGGCCGCTTTACTAAACTCTCTCTATCTCTTTTACACCTAATAATGTCATTATTATAAAATTGTTAAATTTTATATGTTTTTTTTACTGCTAAAATATTATAATAATATAAAAACCATAACATTTTATAACTTTTAACAAAAAACAATAACTATAAAAAATGAAAATAATACAAACTTTTTTTGTTAACAAAAATAACTAAAAAAATATATATAAATAACCACCTCGTATAGAGAACTACCATGGCTCAAATACAGTATTTTTAGTTGGTGTACTAATGTCAGTTGTTGGGTTCGTTTTTGTAACATTCACCTTGATGGCACTGTGCTACAGGTCAGTTGTAGTACATAGAAACTTCTCCCTGTGTCTGAGGTTAGTTGAAAAGAAGTAATGAAAAACAAACAGTATTTGATGAAAAAAAAATACGAAATTTAAAACTAAAAAAAAATTCAAAAAAAATATGAAAAAAAAAAGAATTTAAAAAAATTTTTTAATTACGATTTTTTGGTTTATGAAAAAAAAGAAATATTTTCAATTTTATTTTCTTTTTTTATTTAAATTGATTTTTAATATTTTATTTTTTTTATAATTATTTTTTTCTTTTATTTTTTGTATAGTTTTACGCATTAAAATCAAATGTCATTATATATATAATTGTATTATTCCTTAGATAAACATATTTCTTAAACATACTAAAAAAAATACACTGAAAAAAAATTATTGAAACTAACACCTTAAAATTAAAAGACTAACTTGGAGAGGACAAGAGACTGAAGCATATCTAGTTGGAGAGGCAATAATGGTTTAAATATTATATTGTCAACTTCTAAACAAACGACATAAAGTCATTTCAATGCATTAGTCGAGTTATTGGAGGTCAAAGGTCACGAAGTTTTTTCTGACCTTTGTGATGTTGTGGTTTACACAATTTCTGTATTAGTTATATTCTAAACTTTGGAACAAAAGTCGATTCTAATTGCAAATCTTGAGAAGTACTATAGACTGCGGTTGATAGTCAAAGATCTGCATTTTTAAAATGATTCTTGTTTAAATATCGGCAATATTAATAGATCAAGATTTTGAAAATAACGTTTTCTTTAAATCAAATCAAAATTTGCAATATCTATAATCTCCCATAACAATACAATTGAAAAACGAAGAACTCATTGATCCTTGTTATTTACAGCAGTAAAGTTAAGGGCAATTTTGCTTACTTTTTTTAATTAGTATCAATGTTTATCCTTCCGGATGGGAGGAACTACATTTTACAAACTTTTCCAAATTTTAAAGCTTAAGAGCAAACTCCTTTTTGCCTCTATCTATTTGTGTTTTTATTCAATCTCTTTCTCTCTCCACTCTACTAACGACTTTCAAAAGACCCCCCTCAAAATACACCACATAACAATAGCCCTTGTCTATTATCCAACATTTGTAAAATAACAAACTTTTTTTTTAAATTTTTTTCATTAATTCTCAACTATTTTCTTAAATTTAATCATAAACTTATTTTTGTAATGTTGTTAAATCATTGTAAAAACAAAAACTTATATAAAATAATCAAAAAAATATCGATAAACTCTTTATTGATGGCTAATGATTTGAAATGCCCTTGTTCCTCTAATTTTATTTTATTTTTTGTGTAGTCAAAACAGAAATTATAAGAAATTTTCTTATCCAAAATCACTTTTAATGTATATTTTGTAGATTTGTCTCACTCTTGTATTTTTTTATTATTATATATTGATGTTGTGTTTTTTATTTCATTTATTTATAACATCTTCTATCTCTCTAACATTTAAATCCTTAAAAGCAAAAAATATCAATTAAAGTTGTATATCCTTTTTTAAAAGCCTTAGAAAAATCCAAGTGTATAGCATAAAATGTTAAGATTTGAAAATGAGCAGGATTGTTAAATGTGTATATTAAAATATAAAAAAATAAATAATTTATTAAATTTAAAGCAGAATTTTCTTTATGCCTTTTATAGCTTTATAATTTGATTAATAAAGAAATTCTGGACAGAAAATAAAAGAAATTATTTAATATGAAGCAAATTAACTGAAGTGGAAACTTAATAAATTTTAATTTAGGTTATTTTTATGCTAATGAAAAAAAAAAACAAAAATGTTCAAAAATTTTATTGTTAAATCATGATTTTAAAGCGTAGCTAAAATTTTACATATTTTAATTAAAAATTAAAAAAAATCAAAACAGATTTTATGTATTGTCATGAACCTAAGCAAGTGAGAGACAGGAAATGTTATCAATAACGGAATGTTTAGTTAGACTGGTTATGGTCTGGTCATCCAGTCAATAGGCAAGTTCATACAGTGGTCAATAGATCAATCAATGGCCACCCAAAATATTATTCATAGGCTTATCAATAGAATAGTCAATACAATAGGCAGCAGACTTGTCCATCGATTAGTCCATAGACTACTCAATATACTAGTCTATAGAACAGTCTATGGAATAGTCCATAGACTAGTTTATAAACTAGTCAATGGATTAGTTTATAGACTAATCAATAGACGAGTTCATTAGATAGACTAATTCATAGACAAGTCAATATATTTGCCATAAGACCATTAGAATCGTGCCAATAGACATTTCCATAGACTAATCAATATAGCAGTCAGTAAACTAATCAATAGACTAGTCCGGCGATTAATCTATAGACTTGTCCATAAAACAGTCCAGATAATAGTCCATACAACAGTCCATACAATAGTCCATAGAACAATGCATAGAATAGTCCATAGAACAGTCCATAGAATAATCTATGGAACAGTTCATATAACAGTCCATATAGTAGTTAATATAATATTTCATAGACTAGTCAATGGCTTCGACTATAGACTTGTCAACAGACTCTTCAACAGACTAGTTCGTAGACTAGACTAGTCAATATATTTGTCCACAGACCGGCCATTATATTCGTTTTTAGACTATCCAATAGATCATTCTTAAACTAGTCAAGAGGTAATAGAAATATCCATGACTAGACAAACGAATAGTCCGTCAGTTAGTCCATAGACTAGTTCAGAGCATAGTCCATAGACTAGTCCCTTGATTAGTACATAGGCAAGCCAATAGACTAGCTTTTAGACTAGTCAATGGATTCTTCTATAGACTAGCAATTAGATTACTTAATATATTGACGTGTCAATGGATTATCCATAGACTAGTCCATTGAATAATCAATATATTAGTTCATAAATTAACCCATATACTAGCTAATAGACTATTCCATAGACCAGTCAATAGATAGACTAGTCTTAGATCAGTTCACAGACTATATCATGGACTAGCCAATAGACTAGTTTATAGACTAATCAATGGATTAGTTTATAGATTAGCTTATAGATTAGTCTACAGACTAGTCAATAGTTCATATAACACCATAGACTAGTCCATATAATAGCAAATAGACTTGTTCAAAGACTAGCGAATGGTTTTGACTATAGACTAGCCATTTAATTAGTCTATACACTATTTCATAGACTAGCCAATGGTTTTGACTATAGACTTGTTAACAGACTCTTCAACAGACTAGTTCGTAGACAAGACTAGTTCATAGACTAGTCTATATATTTGTACATAGACTGGATATTGTATAGACCGTCAATTAGTCCATAGACTAGTCCATAGATTAGCTCATAGACTAGTCCATAGATTAGTCCATAGACTAGTCTATAGATTAGTCCGTAGAATTCCATGGAAATGGAACATCCATAACCATAGGCTATCCAATAGACTATAGACTAGTTCATAGACTAGTCAATGGGTTCGCCTATCGACCAGCTATTACATTAATATATAGACCAGTCTATAGATTAGTCCGTAGAATGTCCAATGACTAGTCAATAAACTTTTCCATAGGCTAGTCAATAGACTATTCCATAGACTAGTCAATAGATTAGACTAGTCCTAAAACTAGTCCATACTCTAGACCATGGACTAGCCAATATACTTGTTTAAAGACTAATCAATGGATTAGTTTATATTTAGACTAGCTAATAGATTAGTCAATAGGTTATCCATAAACTAGTCTATTATTTAGCCAATGGAGTAGCCAAGAGACTAGCCAATAGAGTGTTCCATTCAATGGACCACAGAAAGATTGAATTAATCCGGAATTTAAAAGTTAGTAAAAATCTATAGATGAGTCCTTTGAACTGTCCAAGGATTAGTCCATAGAACAGTACAATAAACAGTTTTTGGAACATCCATAGAACAGGCCATAAGCTATCCAATAGATTAGTTCATAGACTAGTCAATGGATTCGTCTATAGACTAGTCCATTGACTATATTAGTCTATAAATTAACACATAGACTAGCTAGTTCCCTAGAGACGCCAATAGACTATTCCATAGACTAGTCAATAGATTATACTAGTACATAGACTAGACAATATACTACTTAGTTTAAAGACTAATCAATGGATTAGTTTATATTTAGACTAGCCAATAGATTTATCCGTAAACTAGTCCATTATTTAGCCCATGGAGTGGCCAATAGACTATCCAATAGAGTGTTTCATTCAAAGGACCATAGAATACTCAATAGTCTATCTTTGGATATACATACAATTGAATTAATTTAAAGGATTTAATTCAGAAAAACATTTATACTATTCATTTTCAAATCTAAACATTTACCATCTTTCACTATCTACTTTCCGCTCTTTTTTTCCTATTTTGTTCATTAACTAATAAAATTTAAAATTCACCACAAATGCCTGCTAATATTGGCTTAAAGCACTCTTAAACTAAAACATTTTAATTATTTTTGTTTTGTTTTATTTAACCAAAATCACTGGACGTTTATTTCCGTAAAACATTTAGTATAAAGAAATTAAATTTCAAAAAAAAAAAATGCCCACCCTAATCCAACTCAAAATAAAAAAACTTTATCAACTTCATTAAACTCAATGTTTTAATTTCATTTTGTTTTTATGTTTGTTTTTTATTTGCAAAAAAAAAATGTGAAAATAACTATTATTTACAAAAAAAAAGCTAAAAAACGTATGTCAATATGCTCGAAAAAGAAAAACAAAAAAAAAAACAAGAAGAAAAAGAGTAAAACTCAATTTTTCATTACTACTTTTATGGTTGTCGTCGTCATTGTGACTGTTAGCATCTATGTAGACTCAGTATTATTCACAAACTAAAAAACCAACAAAAAATCTATCTATAACTATATATTCAAACTCGTACTCGTCCACCAACCACTTCAACAAAAAAAAAAAATAAATAAATAAAAAAATATTAGTCGCAAAAAAAATATATATCAAAACCTACAATCAATACGTATGCTATTTTCGTTCAAAATAAATATTGGTATTTTTGTCTTTTGATTTCAAATTTCT